CTCGGCAACGGGAAAATGTAACTAAGACATGGAGCATTTAACAAAATGCTTGACTTGTAATAAATACTTGATACATGCCTACTATCATTTAATAATTAGTGTTACCTAGGATGGAGGAACAGATTCTGGGCTTGTGTACATGGGTGGTTGGATGAGGGTTATTATATTATTTATATTCTGTCTAAACTATCTAGTACAGTACTGTATAGAACAATCAACTTACTGTAAGTTTCAGTTTTCACAGCTGTAAAAAATCAAACACAAAACAAAACAGTCCAGGTGGGCCTTTGAATAATTGAGTTCACAAGTCCTTGCATGGCTTCTGCTCTGGAGTCTGCATGGTTAATGACTTTTTTATAATTAAAATCTTTTTAAGGCAGTCTGCCAGTGTTTGCTGACTGATCATCAGTTACCTGCGGGTGGATCTGCCCTCGTGATGCAGAGCTGAGGGCTGCAAGAGTCTGGGTGGGCCTTGATCTGAGGATCTGGTTGCTTTGAAAGCAGAAGCACATCTGCCGGTCAGGTGGAGACTGAGCAAATTCCTTTCCAAAGAGAAACAGCAATCACTCGGGGACAAAGGGACTTGTAGAGAAGGAGTGTAGAGAGATTTGTCTGTTTTTCAGAGCTCATCTGTCTTGTGTTAATTGTGATGGTCACTGTCAGGCATATATTCTAAACAGGGCTTCTTACACAGATACTAATCTTTGAAATAGAAAGAGTAGCACTTGTTCTGTTTTCACTGTTGCCCCTAAATGAAGTCTGTCCTTCCAGAATGATCTCTCCCACAGATTCACGGGACAGGAGCAAAGGAACGTTTGCTTTGAAATTCAAGTATTTCAGCACCTGAACCAGTGTGAGAAAGAGAGTAGCAGGTGGAACGTGAATGTTGAACTGAGCTTCACTTAAGAAAAATCGACTTGGCGTATTTCCCTGGAGTATTATCCTGCTCTATGTTTAGAAGACAGGAGCCTAGATGAGAGGCCTTGAATCCCTGACAGTACTTCCAGAGCCACTTGCTCTCTGTCCGTCTTCAGCCGGCTGTGAGAGTGGTTTTGAAATGGCAAGGCTGGAGATCCTCTTCAGTTGACACCTTGATCTCCTACCCTGGATCTTTTGCTCTGAGAGTGTTCTCATGGCTCCAGTAGTCTTTCAGTGGAGTTCTTCAAACTGCTTATGAATTGAAGAGCAGACAAGAAGTATAGATTTTTTTTTCCAGTGCTGGTGATAGAACTTGGGGCCTTATTTCTACTAGCCCAGTACTGTATCACTGAGCTACACACCCATTTCAAAAGGGTCTAGATTTTAAACTCCAAGTGAAATCACATAATTTTCTAACGAATACGTTGTTTGCTATTGGATTATATGTATTCATATATTATTCAATAAGCATTAAATGTTCTTAAATGTTTGAGTCAGCTAAAATAGCCTATGCTAATTAAATTTGACTTTTGAAAATGTACTCCCTCCCTCTCTTTCTTCCCTTTTTCTTTTTTCTTTTTAAAAATTCATTTCATTCAAAAATTACCACACTGAATATCTGCTATATGCCTGGCAGCGTTCTACATGCTGGGGATACAGCATTTGAGCAAAATGAATTTCTTGCCCTTGCAGAAACTTCCATTTTGATGGGGCGGATACACAGCACACAACAAAGAGACAAACACATTATATAAAGTCAGGTTAAAGGATTACTATGGCAAAAAGTAAAACAAGACAAGAGCTAGCGAGTGCTGGGGGAGGGAAACTATTTTAAATGAGACATCCAATAAGTCTCTCTTAGGCGGTTTCACATAACAGGCACTTGAAAGAAGAGTTAGCCCTGAAAATATCTGAGTAAAAACCCCTCCAAGCCCATTACAGTGAAGATCCTGCAACTGAGGGACAGCAAAGGGGCCAGGGGGAGGATGGGGAGAACAAGTAAGTAGGAGAGTGCTGGGAAAAGAAGTTGGAGAAAGAGCCAAAGGCCATGCCTCCCTGCCTCTCCTGCTTTTTTTTTTTTTTAAACAGTACTGGGGATTGAACGGCCTCACACAGTTGCATCCACCCCATCCCCCAGTCTTTAAGAGAGGTTCTTGCTAAGTTGCTGAGGCTGGCCTCAACCTTTGGATCCTCCTGCTTCGGCCTCCTAAGTGTTGGAGTTACAGGTATGTGCCACAAAGCCAGATTATTTAGGACTTACAGTTCATGATCTTATTCCATATGGGTATTTTTGAATGGAACATTGGCGTGATCTAGTTGATGATTTAAAAAGCCTACTCTGGCTATCATGTGGAGGCAGTACCGAATCAGGGAGAACTATTAGGAAGCTGTTATAGTAGTCATGGTAGCATGGGTCAGGCAAGGGTGGTGCCACTGGAAGTTGTGAAAGATGGTGGAATTTGGGAGATATTTTGAATATAGAGCCAACATTGCCTAATCTATTAGATGGGAGATGTGAGGAGCAGTTGAGCCAGAGATCGACCACACATTTGGGGCTAGAGCAAGGCCAGCCCCGAGAACACAGAGCTCTGGAGGTGAGCCATGGGAACAAGTTGTTGGGACTAGAGTAAGGCCAGCCCAGCAGGTGACGGGCCTTGGTGTTCCTCCCTGTTAACCACAGCACAGATAGCTCTGAGAATGTTTTGCTTTCAGTGTTCTCAGCAAAACACTGAGAACTTGCACTTTTTTCTCCATTCACCATTTGTACTTTGTATAAATAAAGAGGTGGACCATGCTGGGTTGTCGCCACCTCTCCATCAGAGAGGTCAGATCCCACCTGGTCTCAGCTTTCCTTTTAGTACACATCTAATTTTTTCTTAATCTTCCATTGCCCCTTCTCAGGACCCTGCTGGCTGCATGAGTTGTGGCAGGGAGAAGTGAGAGAAAAAGAATCAACAAGATTATTTCAGACTTGCAAAAATTCTCTCTCCCTGTTTCCCTTGTATTACCATGTTTTTCTCCTTATTCCTTCATTTAATTGTGGGTTCTACAGTCAGACAGACAGAAAGACAGGACTCGAACTTGTAGAATTCTTAGCAGCAGATAGTGCAGTAACTGCCCTAGGCCTGCAAATAGATGCATTCTTATTGCTCTTGCGGCTCTTCCCTCCAGTGGTCCTAAAGCCAGTGCCACATAATTAGACTTTCTTAAAGCAGTAGGCCACTCTTAGATGCCAATTTCTTTATCAGTGGGCTATTGCTGTATGGCGTATCTCTCTGGTATGATTTGAATGTGTGCTCCCCAAAAGTTGATGAGTTGGACTCTTAGTCCCCAAATTCATATGCTGATGGAATTTGGGGTGGGGCTTTGGGAAAGAACTCAAGTTTGTGAGTTTGTGTAGGTGAGGCTCCAAGCTGGGATTATAGGCTTTCAGAGAAGAGTAACCCCAGTTCACAGGCCCCTCACTCTTCTCACGCGATGCCCTCTCAGGGCTATGATGCAGCAAGCGACCTTACCAGATGTCATCCTTCCCGGTCTCCAGAGCCGCGAGCTGGGTGAGGTTTTGTTATTTACAAATTATCCAGTGTGTAGTGTTCGGTGAAGTGGCTTACAACAGCGAGCATTTACTCTTGCTCAAGGTGGTGGTTGTGGGCGGCTGCGCTGAGCTGACTCGGCAGTCCGGGTGACTGGCCTGCCGCTGTCTGTTGGAGGACAGCCTCACTTACAGATCTCAGGTCAGCCGGCTCTTGGCTGGGGAACGGCAACTGAACCATCGTCCGGATCGTCCAGGAAGCTGTTCCGGTGTTGCTGTTAAGGTGGCTGGGTCAGTACCAAGGCAAGGAGGTGTGCAAGGCTCCTTGAGACCTTGGCTCAGGCCTGTTCCCCATCATTTCAGCCACACTCTGGCAGAGTACATCTCAAAGCCAGCCTCAAATTTTCTTCTTTGATCCGTTTGCTCTACAGAGGCATGGGGTGTGATGTCTATGTATTTGGGGATTTTTCAGTTATCATTCTGTGACTGCTTTCTAGTTAAATCCCACTGTGGTCAAGGCATCCTTTGTATGGTGCCTATTTTTTGTTTGTGTCCCCAGGGGCGCAAGCCACTCCCACCTAGGTCCTGGAGATCAGCCTGGGCCTCAGGCACACTGAGCGGCACCGCTTTTATATAGGACTCATCCCAACCCTGAGGACCCTGCCCTTCTGACCGACCCACTTCCCAGAGGTCTTCCTACACCACTGCGCCAGGAATTAGGACTCAACCTGGGGATTTGGGGTGGTGGGGGTATACAAACATTCAGACCATAGCAATCAATACAACTAAATGATCAGATTGTTCAGTCTCCGACGAAAACCGATTGAAGGCGCCCAGCCTCGGCTTAATTTGCTCATAAAAAACTCAAAATTTTCTCAGTTGATTCTGTGCTCTAGTACAGTTGAGAATCAGTTTCCTGTGATTTAAGAAGTGGGCCTCAGAGCCGGGGGCGGTGATCCATTGCAGCAATCCCAGCATTCTGAGGCTGAGGCAGGAGGATTTAAAGCCAACCCCTTCCTGTTAGCCAGACCCTGTCTCAAACAAAACAAAACAAAACAAAACAAGAAGTTCTGGGCATGTAGCTCATTGCGAAGGCCCTGGTTCAATCTCCAGTCTCGGAAAAAAACAAAACAAAACAAAACAAGCGGCCTCAGAAGCCTTCTTTCCGACAAGGGTTTTCGGAAGACCTTTTGTGAGCTTTACAAAACTGGGCCCTCGGGCACGCTTGCCCCGGACGCCCCCGCCTGTAAGGAGAGCGGAGGCTCCCGGACCCGGTCGCCTTGGATTTTAAACAGGGCATCGGTGAAAACCTGGACGCAGGATCTTGGAGCCC